AAAAAAAAAAAAAAAAGTGTGGCCAATCAGGGTATATTAAGAAGAAAAAGAATGATTACATGATTAGAAGGGTACTTAAACTGACCTGGGCATGGGGTGTCAAGGATAGCATTTACAAAACTGATTTTGTATCTTTTTTTCCAGTAAGTCTACCTTAATTTTGTAAGCAATCATAAATCAAACCAGCTGATCATACAGTTGTATGTTTAGAGTGAAAGGTATAATAGGCTCATCTTTACTAGGAAATATAGTTGATAAAGAATGAGATAGACACCTCTTTAGTCTACCTTCCAGTGCTCAGATGATACCCAAAATAATAATGCTCTGTTTATTTTGTTGAGCTGTACACTTAAGATTTTATAATTTTCTATATGCATGATAAGCTTTAATTAAAAATATACAGTTATAAAATGATACAAGATAGGAAAGACATGCCTATCAGCATAAACAGTGAGTCCTGGATCAAAGGTAAAAGAAAATAAAATTCACAGAAATTAATAGTCTTTTCAGAGCCATATCTCCAGCCTTGTTTTTTCTGTTGTTGGAAGAGATTAAATAATTATCTGTCCTAAATTTCCTACTTAAATTAGTAAAAAACAACTAAAACATTTAAATGCTCAAAATCTCTTTTAATTTTACTCACTTGTTAGAAATAATTCAAGCAAAAAATATACATTTAAATGAAAAGATTCTATTTACTACAAATGTTATTTTCGGAGATTTGCAAAACTTTGGTTATTAAAGAATTGGGTCAGAATTTGGAAACTTAAATGAGAAAATCCATTAAAAACCCTCTCCTATAAATGTGCTCCCTTGGCTCCATTTTTATATGGGGCACCACAACTCCAGAGTAGCCCCAATTTCAGGAGCTAATGATGATGATAATTAAGTATGTCATTCATATCCTGTGTATATACTTTCTTTAGTACAATGTTGATAATCACGTCCATTTTTCCCTTCACTATTTAATCACTAATCAAAAGGCATTTAGGTCAAATTAGCTCTAAAAATGATATTTTTTTTAAGTAAGATAATGTGAAATGTCTTTAAGATGAACTTACCTCGAGTTGAACCCTTTGTTCTAAATTCTTGTACGATCTCTGTAGTAACTCCCGGGTTCCAAGGACTCCATACCACATCAAGTTTTTAGTTCGGCTCCTGAAAATTAATATTGGCAGGCAGTTTCAGGAAATTTTATTTACTCCTTAAAGGCAGAGCAAGCAAAAGATATAACAAATGAGGGAAAAATTGCCTTTATGTAACAGCATTATTACTTTTACTACAATTACCTGCATTTTTCAGGGTGCTCCTCTCTTTTATTGTTAAATTCTAATGAAATTTTTGCATCTAATCCAATCCCAAAGTAATTGTTCATGACACATTTTTCTGAATATCCATCTCTATGATCATAGGGGAAAGTACATCAAAGTCAATTTCAGATTCATTACAATTACAATTTGTACACAAGATAGTATTTAACACCATTTAAGCTTCCATTCCTTATAGTAGATTGCAAAACTCAGCCCTAATCGCTTCCTATTCCTATGCCATGTGTACAACCACAGGACATATGTACAATATCTGGTACATGTGACATAAAGGGATGGTGAGCAAGCAAAACAGACACACAGTTACGGTGTGGTTTTCTACTAACTGTAAGAACATCTTCGTTCTAGTTCTAGGTAAGTTCCTCACTACACAGAAAAATGCAGGTGATTATGGGAGGGCCTTACAGTCAGGTGCCAATTCTCTCTCTCTCTCTTTTTTTGTTTGTTTATCATTAGAAAGTCTCTTCCACTTCTACGCTTAACAATGGACAAATATTTACTGAGCAAAAGAGTACTAGATCCAATCCATTCTTCTAGGTGTTTTGGAACATTTAAAATATGGTACTGTCCTTGAGGACTGTCATTACAGAAATGAGATATAACAAAAGCAAAATGGAAGCAGAATGGAAGTAAAAGAAAGTGTATATTGAACTGCCAAAAAATTGTAGGAGTCTTAAGAAGGGAAGATATGTGTGTGGGCCAAAAGATTCCCAAAATAAGTAAACCTAGAAGCTGACGTGGAAAGATGACAGATCTGGCAAGACTGAGAAGAAAGGAGGTAAAGGGAACAGCATCAGTTCTATTTACTGGAGCCTTCCTTTGCCAGAGGGTTGCTCTCAGACAGAATGGGCTGAAAAAGGACCTACCTCAGGGACAGATCATGGCGACCAATGAATTTTAAATGGCTCAATGTGCTTGGCATTACCAATTTTTGTAATTTTCTGATCATCTTTTTAAAATATGCAACCGATAGTTATTGTAATATCATTTAAAATGTTACAATTCATGTTAAAAAGAAAAAGAAAACCCCCAACAAAATATTTGCAAAAGCATTTTCTTACACGGAATCTGGATCTGGATCAATAAATGGGGTAGCACCAAAAGGGTCAATGTTTGCTAGTAACATTTTGTTGATAATTGAACTCCCAGCAATTGAGGCAGCTAGTCCTGCTCTTAAACCTAGACAGAAAAACAAATATATATGGGATCGCATGTTAAGAAAAAACAGAAAAAGAACCAGTCCATCGAGGCCTAATATCAAATATCTTGCTTTTAAAAGCATAGTTCTCAGTGCCTACTCCTCTCATTAATCACAATTATGAACCAAGACATTTGTGAATACAAGGCTTTTGATACTTCCAAGGATCTATATGTTATCATAAAGAATTAAGGAGAGGAGGCCCTAAATAGGTATGGCTTTGTGACACTTTCCCATTTACCATCCCAGTAACTATAACTTCAACAAATACATGTTACTTCCTTTGTTACAGCAAAGACAGTATTAAGTGTCTATGGAATTTACAATAAAGGTAGAATTACCCAAAATGGCATGGAGTTACCACTTCCAGACTCTCAAATCATAGATAATGATACTCCATTTAAAATATTAAGAGATGTATTAAGGTGAAAACCCAGTGTTACTTTTAAGAATAAGTAGTAAAGTATTAAATGTAGGTATCTGTGAATTTTAGAAGAATATAGTATTAAATACTATGAAATGAAGGCTCTATCTTACTTCAAATTTATTTCAACATGCTTGCCAACTAGTTTTCTAACTAGTTACAGTATTCAAAGCTAATGAATTTTATGATCTACTCAACCCAACAGGAAAGCTAGAAACACAAGTCTGGAGAGGAGACAAAGTAATAGGGACCTGTGGGAACCAGGGAAACACTAGGAAATTAGAAAAACAAGTTCTTTCTTTTTATTTTATTTTTTTTAGAGATGAGGTCTCACTCTTCACCTAGGCTGGAGCACAATGGTGTGATCATGGCTCACTGTGGCCTCTATCTCCCAGGGCTCCCGCCTCAGTCTCCCAAGTAGCTGGGACTATAGGCATGTGCCACCATGCCAGCAAGTCCTCTCTTTAGCAAACATTTTTATCCTCAGCACTATGCTCTTCTTAGGGAATAATTATTATTCATTATTTTAATTGATAATATTTAGTCAATTATCAAAATACAATCAATTTTGTTCCTTCATTTAATGTCATAGTTTTAAATATACTCTGGAATACTTCTTATGCCAATTTCCTTTACGTTTCAACAAGTAAATGAACGAATAAAAAAATAAATTTAGTAAGCATTAAGAACAGTTTGGAGAGATGAGAGCCATACTCCAGCTGCCCCACAGAAAAGTGTTAATTTTTTTCCTTTTCTTTCTTTCTTTCTTTTTTTTTTTTTCTTTTGAGACAGACTCTCACTCTGTTGCCCAGGCTGCAGTGTAGTGGCACAACCTTGGCTCACTGAACCTCCTGGGTTCAAGCAATTCTCTTGCCTCAGTCCTCCAAGTAACAGGGATTATAGAGGCGCACCACCATGCCTGGCTAATTTTTGTATTTTTAGTAGAGACAGGGTTTCACCATGTTAGCCAGGCTGGTCTCAAACTCCTGACCTCAGGTGATCCGCCTGCCTCAGCCTCCCAAAGTGCTGGGATTATAAGCATGAGTCACTGTGCCTGGCCAAGTGTTAATATCTTCGAAAATGTTTTAGGGTTAACCATACTCCTTTTAGCTTTATTCCAGAGCGGTTATCCTAAGGTTCCCAGGTGGAATAGGAACACAGCCTCTAAACCTGCAGGCTTTTCCAGAACCAGGTATATTCCAGATTGATCCTCCTTTTTTTCTTTTAATATTTCTACTTTGATACAATTGATATATCATAAAATTAACCCTTTTGAAGTTTTTAGATAATTCAGTTGTTTGTAATATATACACAAAGTTGTACAACCATCACTACTAATTCTAAAATCTTTTTGTTACCCTGCAAAGAAATGGTGTACCCATTAGCTGTCATTTTCCATTCCTTCAATCACCCCACTTCTGGTTCCTTGGGAACCACTATCTATTTTCTTTCTCTATGGGTTATGACTATTCTGCCCATTTTATATAAACGGAATCATATTACATTTGGCTTTTGTGTTCATTTTCCATAATGTATCTAAGGGTAATCATGTAATAGCATGTATCAGTGCTTCATTCTTTTTAATGGGCAGATAATATTCCATTGTATGAATATATCACTTTTGTCTATCCATTCAACTGATGGATGTTTGGGTTGCTTCCACTTTGGGGCTATTATGAATGCTGCTATAAATAATCATGTACAAGCTTTTGTGCAGACATGTATTTTCAATTCTCTTGGGTATATACCTAGTAGTAAAATTGCTGGGTCACATGTAAACTCTATGTTTAACTTTTTTAGGATCTGTGAAACTATTCTTCAAAATGGCTTCGCCAATGTATGAAGGTTCTAATTTCTTCACATCTTTGCCAATATTTGTTACCATCTGTCTATTTTGATCACAGTCATCCAAGTGGCATAAAGGGGCACCTCATTGTGGTTTTAATTTGCATTCCCCTGATGACTAATGATGTTGAGCATCCTTTCATGTACTTATTGGCTATTTGTGTATCATCTTTGGTAAAAAATGTCTATTTAGGTCCCTTTCTCATTTTCGAAGTGAGATATTTACCTTTTCATTATTGAATTTTAAGAGTTCTTTTTATGTTCTGGATATCAGTCCCTTATCAGATACATTACTTTTAAATTCTTAAGTTGTACTTTACCTGATAGTGTCAGGAAAGTGTCCTTTGAATCCCAAGACTATTAATTTTGGTAAAGTCCAATTTACTTGTCTTTTGTGGCGTGTGCTTCTCATATCTAAGAAATCATTGCCTAATCCACAATTATGAATACTTTACATCAAGATGTCTTAAAATGACTACAGAGAGACTTAGGACTTAAAACCAAAAGGATTCAGCAGAACACTGACTAAAAAACACCAAAAGGAAAGCTTAAGAAGTAGTGATGTAAGATGGGATTTACTTTGGAAACGTAGTAAATGCAGGTTCCTGGACTTCAATCCAGAATTACCGAATCATAATTTCTCAGGACAGGCCCAGAAACATGTGTTTTAATACTTCCTAGGCAACTTTTGTACAGGGAAGAATCTAAGGGCCTGGATTCTGACTGAAAGTATAATAAGAACATTCTACTAAAAGAATAGTTATCTTTAAGAACATGTTTCCACTGTTCATGGAAATAAATACTTATACATTTTTACAGAAATACTGAAAAATACACGATGTTTCAGAATCTGTACTACCTGGGCATATTATTCTGGTATTGAGCACAGGGAGGTTTTCTTTGCTGGCTGCCACAGCTGGACCAGGGAGAGAATCAGTTTGAGAATGGCCATGACTTGCCCGGGCATCTGGAGACCGAGGTGCAGTTTTAACTGTTGGCAAAAAGTCCAGATTAGAAAGAGATAATGATAAAGCTATAAAAATAAGCAAGTTCTTATAAATTTAAAACAAAATAATGTTTAAACAATCAGTAGAAATGAAAATATTATGTGTAGTTACTGTTTACATTTTCTTGAGACTTACATGGAGGCAATCCAAAGTCCTAATTTCGAAGCTCAAATAGAAGAAGATCAGTAGAAAATAGATGTCTACCATAATTAAAGGTCACTAATATGCATAATTTGATTATAATCAACCCACATGTAAAGATAAATGAAACCTCTGAAGTCTGCTTATTTTTGAAAATGAAACGTGTTATAATGCACACTACCCATGTAATCCTCTTCTCGTAAACATCAAGTGAATGATCAAATTTAATTAATGTAATTATCAGAGCAAACATGTGAAACAAGATTTAATATTGTCTTCAATAAATGACGAGGCTAGGTGTGGTGGCTCATGCCTGTAATCCCAAAGCTGTGCAAGGCTGAGGCAGGAAGATCACTTGAGGTCAGGAATTCAAGACTAGCCTGGGCAACACAGTGAGACCCTGTCTCTACAAAAAAAATGTAAGCCAGGCATGGTGGCATGCACCTGCAGTCCCTGCTACTTGGGAGGGTGAGGCTGGAGGATCACATGAGCCTAGGAGTTTGAGGTTGCAGTGAGCTATGATCACGTCACTGTACTCCAGCCTGCGTGACAGAGAAGATTCTGTCTCATAAATTAACAAATAAATAGAAGAAAATTTGCATCTGTCTTCAAGTGAAATGAACATATTTTCCCTATACTTCTCAGTTATTTATACAAAATGATGATTTGCCCAAACAGTTCTATATTCTTGTAAAAGCTCAACACATCTAAAAATTATTCTGAAACATAATTACTCTCAAAGTAAACAACAAAAAGAAAGATTTAACCCTAAACTGAGGCAAGTTAATGCAGGGCAAATGGTACCCTTAAACAATTTAAGAGTTACTGGTAGGCATTTTTAAGAAACAGTAATCCTTAAACTCATTTTAAAATATTCTAAAACTTAATTATCTTCACTCTCCCTAAAACTAATTATAAACAAATTATATTAATTTTACACTCTATTCTCTCATTCAAAAACAGTCCCAACTGCACTAAAGTACCAGAACAGCCACCCTTTTTTAAATAGATAGGACTCCTGGGGCTAATTTCTCTTAAAAACAACTTTTTGATGTTCAACTCTGACAAAAAGCAGAGAGTGTACTAATGACTAAGACTGATGTTCCATTCCAGGTAACTAAATTAATGTTTTCTTGTTCTTCTTAAATAAAGCATCTCATCAATCATATTAATATACTGTATTTCTCACATCTCAGACTTATGAATTACATGATATAATAAATGTACCTAAAAAATGATATTTCATATAGAAATATTTCCACTATTGCTACTCATTTCCAACAAGTCAGATTACTAGCCAAAATAAAGATCAAATACTGTACCATTAAAGACTTTTGTAAATCTGTGTCTATTTCAATATCAATATTTACAGCACTACATTTGCATTTTTTAGTTTCTTTTACAGGCCACAAGGGAAGTGTCGAGTTTAAGAGTATGGTAAGGTGGGATGATAGCCGGTTGGAAAACCATTAAATGAGCTTTGACAAACCAATCCTCCTAACAGCCATCATCTTAGGAGGAATTATCATTGTATAAGATCTATTAAAAGCAGAGCTGACAATGGCATCCTTACTGATGCTTTAATCAATACTTTCCAATAAATGAAAACATCTAAGGCCTGCTTATCAAATTCACAGATGAAATAAACTTAAGATGACAGAATCAAGCTTCAAAAGAGCTTCAGAGGAGGAAATAATAGATCTAAATAAAAAAGATAAAAGTTCATTGGGATCAGTATAAACTACTATAATTATGTTTTTAAAAAGAGAAGTCTTGGGTAGTCTTTGTAACGTCAAAAATGTCCTTAATGAGTAGTGTATGGGTACCAATGTGCTAAAACACAACAGAAAATATCTGAAGTTTGTTTAAAATGGTGTATCACATTTTAAGATGAACATTGACCACATGGGTGCAACTAGAAAAACAAAAGGTTTAAAATCATCAATTTAAAAACTGGCAGAGAAACTTTAGGACAGATCATCCGAAAAAAGAAGATGTAAGGTGACAGAAAGTCTGATGCCAACAAGGCTGTTTTTGGTATCATTTAAGGGACGACACATGAAGAAGAAGAAAAAAGAAAGAAGGAAGAAAAAGAAAGGAGGAGGAAGAAGAAGGAGGAGGAGGAAGAGGAAAGAAAGAAGAGGAGGAAGGGGAAGAAGACAGAAGAGAGGAGGATGAGGAGGAGGAGAAGGAGAAATGGCTCCAGAGGCAGAGTCCTCTTCGATATGTGAAATGTATATGGAATTGCTCCTTAAACTAACATAAGCACTACATAAAGGCTGGTCATTGTTATTGTCAAACTATCATTCATAAAACCTAATTATTACTATAATCATGGGTAGAAATTTAAGGGAGAAAATAGAAAGTTCAATATAAAGAATGACTTTCTAACAATTAAAGCTGACCATAGGAGTGGGATGTATGGGAAGTGAGTGGTGCTAAGGCTCGTGGTCATCTGCTTCAAGGGTCCTAGAACATGCCTGCATTGGGCTGTATGCTGAACATGTGAGGTCTATGGGGTCTGATTTCAAAGTCTTTGAGAGTCTTAAGTACAAGAAAATATTCTCTCACAGTTAATGTAATTAGTGGTAGCAGCAGCAGTAATAGTAGCAATAAAAATAACAACAATAAAGATGACAGTGAACACTCAGACAGCACTCTCTACCACACACTATTCTGGGCACTTTACATATAGTAACTCTTCAACCTTCACAAAAACCCAATGAAGTAGGTAGATTATTATCCTCATTTTAGGGATGAGGAAACCACAGAGAGGTTAAGAAATTTGCCCAAGTTTATATATAATGAAAGTAAAGCCAAAAATTTAGTGATTGCAAACAGTTCTTTTTAAAAGTTTTTGAGAATAAGATGAAAACAGATTTTTAAATTTAAAATAACTATCAATTGTATTTCCTTTTACTTATTAAGTTTACATTTTACTCATTTCGTTTCATATTAAAGCTAGAATAAATTTAGCAACAACATATTAATAAACCTACCATCTAATTTTTTTCAAAGCTAGGTTAACAAGAAATGTTTCAAACACGTAAAATTTAAAATGTACTCACCACTACTAGTCCTATGAAAATTGGCCATAAACATGGGGAATAAAAGGTCTTCATCACGCCATAGCGGAAGCAGAAAATGTGAATCTGATCTGGTATATGATCAGTTCTCCATAAATTCTTTTTATTGTATGAAGACAATTTCTTTTTTTAATAACTTCAAATTTTATTTTAGATTCAGGGGATCACATGCAGGTTTATTGTCTGAATATACTGAGTGATCCTGAGGTTTGAGGTATGATTGATATCACCCAGATATACAGCATAGTACCCAAGACTTAGTTTTTCTACCATTCCCACCCTCCCACTTCTAACAGTCCCCAATGTCTATTGTGACTGCAAACAGTTCTGACATAATTGTGTTGACTTTTCATAAGTACCACGTATTTATTTTCATATTATTGTCTTATCTTCATTAATATTTTAATTTCTGCCAGTAAGTTAGAAACTTTTCCCTTAGGCAATGTAAAATATTAAAAGTATAAATTCACTTTCAATTAAAACCTAAAAGTTAGAAAGATATTTAACATTCTTCAGGCATTTACATATTCATTTCCTTGCGAAAATAATTTCAACAAAGAGAGGGCTGTTACTAGAAGTCCTGTGATTTTCAAGCTTGCTTTAAAGTCCTGTGATTTTGAAGCTTAATAAAGACTATCAACCCAGAAGGTTGATCGGTGGAACTTAAGGTGACTGCTAAATCATTTAAATGACAAATTGTGTGCATTTGGAGCGTTAGGAGAGCAGCTTTCTTACAATTCTCAGAGAAATCTGTGAGCTATAATAGGTTAAAATCAGATGATTTAGGTGTTTCTTTCTGCTTTTGTCAGGAAAACCAACATATTTAATTATCCTTAGTCCTATAACCCTAAATTTATTGCTATAATCTCTAGATTACATGATAAGAGAGGAATGTGAGAGTACTGGACAATAGTCTAGATGTGATCTTTTTTGTTTTATTATTCATGAATATCTATCTAAGCTTTAACTTCTAAAAAGCCTTTTCAAAAATAAGAATACAAATAGTTTTTTTTCAAACTGATCAGTCTTTTGAAAACTAAAAGCAAAATGACACTTTATTTAATTCCAAAATAATTTTTTTCCCAGTTTCCTCACCGGTTAATGATTCTTTGGCACCATCCTCTTTAGTTTCCTCCTTAGACTCATCTGTTTCTGTGCTGTCGTAATCAGAGGACTGATTAGCTGGTTCACAAGGGTGAACTGTCGGGTCATCCATAACTTCAGTAGTAAGAAGATAAATAGTTTGGATAAGGAAAAATGAAGCCCATTAATATTAAGATATGCTCAGGAAAGGAAAATTGAAACATATGCCAAAAGAAATTACAGATTCACAAATAAACACTATTTAGCAATGAACTTGGGGTTGATGTCTGAAGAACTAAAGATTAAAAACTAAAGTTGTCAAAATCATATTTCTATCAGAATGAAAATGTAAAATATAAGAATTTTAGAGAATGAAATACAATTACAAGTTACAACCTATAAAGGGGTTTTTGAACATTAATTATTCATATTAAAATTAACATTGCCGGGCGCGGTGGCTCAAGCCTGTAATCCCAGCACTTTGGGAGGCCGAGGCGGGTGGATCACGAGGTCAAGAGATCGAGACCATCCTAGTCAACATGGTGAAACCCCGTCTCTACTAAAAATACAAAAAATTAGCTGGGCATGGTGG